ACTCCACCTATCCTCTCCTCTATCCCTCTTCTATCCGCCTCCCACTCTCTCCCTATTTATTTCGGAACCCCCTTCCCCTCCCCCTTTTCTGATGAAGGGTCTAGGCCCGAAACGTCAGCCTCTCTGCTCCTATGATGCTGCTTGGCCTGCTGTGTTCATCCAGCCCTGCACCTTGTTGTCTCGAATGCTGCTTTATTTGCTTTCTAGTGAATGCAAATGAGATTGATTCAAAAGAATTAGCTGCCCCAGCATGAAGACAGTACTTGAAGACAATAAAATCTAGACATCTAACTAATTCAAAAATTGATTTTAGTAGTTCTTTGGCTTATTCAATAATTTGAATTGTGTAACATAGGTAACAGTCAAGTGGAAACTTTATGATAAAAACTGAATTACTTAATTTAAATTAAGCACCTTTGAATTAAGAAAACTTAATCTACCTTCAAGCAAATAATTCAAAAATATAGCTTCTTAACGATCTTCAAACATCTAATCTGAAATGTCAGTTGGTTTCCTGCGTGTTCAATTATTTAGGCATTCAATTAACTTGCAATATTGTTCCCCAATTCATTGTAGTTGAAAAGTCTCTTGCTCAGCGCTGACGCAAAACGCTTCAGCAAATGAACAGGCACAATCATGTTTACATGTGGATCACATTACGGTCTCAAGAATGTCAATGATCCATCACACAGAATCTTCACAAGCATATGTTGACTGGGAAATAGTTTATTCTCCTTAAAAAGGCTTCATTTGTTTCTTGTTTTGTAAAAGGAATTCCCTATTTCTACCATAGAATCCCAGTTAATATCTGAAGTCCCAAATGTCACCTTGGCTCAGGAGTACACTTCCCTCTGAGTCAGCGGTTGTGTTGAAACCTCTACCTTAGATGAGATAACAAACTGTATGTTGGCGTCTTCAGGTGCTATAAGGGGTTTCCTTGCTGTCCTGGACAAGTTATTTATTCCTCAGCCAACTACAGTAACAGATGAACTAGATACACAGCTGTCTGTTCTTTGTAAAACCTTGCTTAGTACATATTGGTGCTGTGGTGGTCTATAATAACAACAGTGACTTAATTAAAAAAATAATTAATTGATCATACAGCTATTTGGGATACGATAAGGAAGTGAATTGGACCGCAAATGTTAGGTTTCTTAGTCCTTTTAAAGTTATTTTTGCAGAAGTGTAAACTCTGGCTATTTTATAGCATTTTGACAGTATTTCTATTAAATACATGTTGCATAAAAAGCAGTTCTGAAATACAAGTCATTAAAGGGAGAAGAAAACACCAACGCAGGAATCACTAAGCTTACTGCTCACCTACCTGTTCATGTTGGTAAGGGTCTGATCATAGGACTGTTCTCCAATTCGTTTGTTTCCAGAAAGATCACGACCACCACTTCCAGTGTATGTGAATTCATTACCCCTGTCCTATTAAGTTTAAAGTAACTCATCAGCTATAACAACTCCACTTAGTATTCAGTTTAATTCAACATGGTTGCTAAATTACAGCTCAGTTCATAATTACTGTTTTACATTGCAGGAAGCAAGAGATTTGGATTGATAATGCTTTGAACCGATAACACCCATTTCAACAATATTGTTAGGATCTTTCCATGCATGTACCCACTTTCTCAAACAAAATTAGAATCATTCCACAATAAATATTTGGGGGTCACACTAAGACAGCAATAGTGCATATGAGATTGACAGCAAGTTTGTAAATGAGTGAGAATGACAGTGTGCAGGTAGCAGTAGGGATATATGAGTGAAAATGTGAGACAGACTGCAGTGAGAGGAACAGTGTACCTGTGATGGGTGGTGAGCGAGCCTGTGAGCAAGAGTGCTTGTATGTAAGTGACAGAGGGTGTATATGTGAATGAATATGAATCCATGAATGAGTGTGTGAGTGAATAAGTGAAAGTGAGTAGCGTCCCTGAGAGTGTGCTTGAATGAGAGAGACTGCATGAGAAAACGTGTGTTACAGAGAGCGTATGCGATAAACAGCATGCACGTGAGACAGAGTACAAGAGGGAGTTTGTGAGACAGTGTGTGACAGACAGGGTATGTGAAACAGTGAGGTTTGTGAGAGAGACAGTATGTCAAAATGTATGTGTGAGAGGGAGAAAGAGACAGAGAACACTTTCTCTATTATCTACTCAGATATTGTTGTGCATCAATGCCCTATGGATTCTTTTAAGCTCCAAGATTAATAATCTATAGTTTCTTGCTTTAGCTACGTACCACTTCATCCTCGAAGCCACCAGCTAGCACCAGAGAGTAGGCTCCGTCATTACTTCGTCCATGAATCCCTCCAACATGTGGCCTGTGAACACCTGCTTCACTCACCTTGCAGCAATAAAGCATCAGATTTAAACAATTAAGAAAGGTCACATTGTCGAGTTATCCACAGATGAGCAGTAATTATCTTGAATTAGTCATTTCCCATTAACAGAACATAAAAATAGAAACAAAATCAGTGATATCTCAAAAAGGTCTCCCACTTATAGCATGAAATTTAATTTTAAACAATAATTAATCAGTCCATAAGATAGCTCACCTTCTGAATATTCCTGAATCATGAAGATTTATACTCTTATATTAAAACACTGAACAGGTTATATGGAAGACTACATCTTGTTAGTTAGGCAACCTACGACTCTGAAACTGTACCTAGGGGCAACTGTACAACAGCTGGAATGATCCTCAAACTCTTACGTACCAAGATGCCAGATGCAAGTGGTGATGCAAATACTTCTCCACCAAAACAACACATTTGAAGCATATTTTCCGCATAACCTTAAGGTAATTCAAAACTAAAAGTAGATTACCTACATAAGAGTTGCCTTCCTTCCAAAATATACTTCCTCAAAACTTCCCAGGAGTGTAGTTTAGCTTATGAAGTTTTGGGAAAACTGAAAGATAAGCTCATGCGAATAACAGCAACATTGTAGCCTAGTGGTGATAGTGTGATTTAGTATCTAAATCTATGCTGCTATAACATGCTGGAACCTGTGGCAGTGAATCCTTTGAAGAGGCAGAGAGAGAGAGAGAGAATAGACAAGGGGAACGCAGCAATTGGAATTCATGTAGCTTTCTAAAGCCTTTCAACTGGCTCCAATGCCAGTATATTTTTTCCTGAGGTAACAGGGTCAAAATTGTTCACAATATTCCAGGTGTGGTTTAACTAATTCCTTGTATAGGTTTAGAAGGACTCCCCTATTTTTATACTCCATTCCCTTTGAAATAATAGGCCAACATTCCATTTACCTTCCCCATTACTTACTGAACTTGTACAACCTTTTTGTGATTTATGCATGAGGATGCCAAAATCTGTTTTGCAGCTTTTTGTGGACTTTCTCCATTCAGATAATATTCAGCTTCTCTATTCTTCCTGCCAAAGTGTATAACCTCCTATTTCCCCACATTATATTCCATTGTCAAGTTTTTGCCCACTCATATAAACCTGTCTGTATCCCTCTGTAGACTCTTAGCATCTTTCTCATTATTTGCCTCCCCACCTATTTTATGTCATTGTCAAACTTGCCTAAAGTACATAATCACTAAAGTACCCCATCACTAATTCCCCATTACTTCACTACTTATAGGTTGAAATCCTGAAAATGATCCTGAAAATGATCCCAACTATTAGTTAGCCAATTGCACTTGAGGAACTCATTTCTTCACCCAGGGAGTGGTGAGAATACGAAACTCACTTTCAGTGAGTAGTTGTGGTGAATGGTATAGAAAGAGGATAAGCATAAGTGGGATAAAAGGAACACAAGATCACGCTAACAGAATTAGGGATGGGACTGGTCAGAGGCAGCTGAAGAGGAGCATTAGCAGAGGAATGGTCCATTACTGTGTTACATATTTGATAATAATTCTATTTAATCATGCCCATTCATTGTGATCCAAAGCTAAACTGAAATTAACCAACTTAAATTAATCACATCTTCGCCCGAACTATGCAATTGCAAGGATGGGCTACATATATAATTTATGAATGAATATTCTACCAAGCAAGTAATAAAACCCTATCAGGAACAAATACAGAAGTTGCTGGAAAAGCTCCGCAGGTCTGGCAGCATCTGTGAAGAAAAAATCAGAGTTAACACTTCCTCAGGTCACCAGACCCAAAACGTTAACTCTGATTTTTTTTTCTTTACAGATGTTGCCAGACTTGCTGAGCTTTTCCAGCAACTTCTGTTTTCATTCCTGATTTACAGCATCCGCAGTGCTTTCGGTTTTTAATAAAACCCTCTGCTTCATTCCACATCCTCCACATAACTGCAGAAGCCACTGAAATGAGGGAAGTTGGGATATAGAAGGAGCCAGAGATATTTTACCAGTTATTAGAGGTGAGCCATAAATGGTAGTGTCCAATGTTGTAGCCGTATCTAAGCAGTAACATTTAGTGACCGTGTGTGTCGACGTATCAGGTTGTACAAGCCTTAACCTGTTCCTTTTTCTTCCCCAAGGCCTTAGCAGTGTGGAAAACACTTAATCAGTCATTGGCTTTTCACCAATGAATTAGTCACTACTTTGCCTTGGTCCATTGCACGAAAAAAATGTAACAATTGAAAATGCCTATGCTGTTCTGGGAAAAAGATATCAATTTGAGGTTGTGCTAAAATATAAACAGTGGAAATGACATTCCATTTCTTACCTTGTGGCCATGCAGAAAACAATAAGATAATATCTGACCCAACTGAATCTGAGAAGAGATCTCAGATTTAAAATGCTAGGTGTACCCAAAGAAGCTTTTTGACATAATGTTTAACAAATTTAAATTTAGAAGATCTACAATTATAAGACAATAAGATGTAGGGGCAGAAGTAGACTGTTCAGCCCATTGAGTCTGCTATGCCATTTAATAAGATCATGGTTGATCTGGTAATCCTCAACTCCACTTTCCTGCCTTTTCCCCTTAACGGTTGAATTCCTAACTGAGTGAAAATCTATTGATCTCAGACTTGAATATACTTAAACCAGCCTCAAAAGCCCTCTGCGGAAAGAATTCTGCAGAATTACTACTGTATTGACTTGCTACGAAAAGAAACCTACAGAAACAGATATCCTTCATCTGCTTTATGCATTTCTCAAAGAGAGCTGAGTGAGGGAGATGTAACTCCAGGAAAATATACACTCAGCTTTCTAATATGCAAGCAGGGTCAAACTACAAAACTTTTTGAAAACTGACAACTCAAACAAAACAAAACTGAGAAATCAACCCAAATAAATGATTAGTACCAGAGACTGTTTCATAGCAACTAAATGAAAAAAAAAACCTCCTTAGTAGTTTGAATTTTAAAATCCTGTTTCTATTTAAAATTACATTTTGCAATTTGATTTGTTTCTCTATTAAAATTGAAACTTATTTATGTATCACAGGGAAAAAAAAAATCGCTACAATAGAAATGCAAGAAATGTGACCGGAATGTGTTATTATTTACATTGCCTCACTGCAGCTATCCATCCCCAAAGTCCAATCAGTTTTTCTGGAAGGGGCAAAAGGAAACTTTTACGGTTGTAGATCCAGGAATTTTTGAGCAGGGTTTGCAGTTCTCCATTAACAAACTAAGACCGGCATTAACACAGTACATGAGAAACAAACACAACTGAAGATATTTAGAGTGATGATGACAAATGATCAAAATGAAAGCTGCCAATGAAGAATCCTGTGGGCTTAATTCGTCACAGTTTTCAAATAACTGATTTACAATCAGACTTCAGCAAACAGTCCCTTTCAAGCCAAATGCAAATAGCTCACTGAAGAGGGGAAATCACCACAACATGAACTGGATAGAACTATGTTTTAAACCATCATGAAGCACAAATAGAAGATACTCCAAATAAACAGAATGTTTGTGACTGGTCTAATCAGTTAATAGAACACCAATGGACAAATCATAGAATGATAGAATCCCTACAGTGTGGAAACAGGCCCTTCAGCCCAACAAGTCCACACTGGTCTTCACAGCATCTCACCCAGTCCCATCCCCCTATAACCAACCTAATCTACGCATCCCTGAACACTATGGGCAATTTAGCATGACCAATCCACCTAGCATGCACACCTTTGGACTGTGGGAAGAAACCGGAGCACCCGGAGGTAACGCACACAGACACGGGGAGAATGTGCAAACTCCACACAGTCACCTGAGGGTGGAACTGAACCCTGGTCACTGGCAGCAGTGCTGAGCCACCGTGCTGCTCCGAATGTTATGGACATGTTTGAATCAACCTGTCACGACACACTTCTGGAGCAGATGGCACTTGAACCCAGGCCTCCTGGCTCAGAGGCAGGGACACTACCACAACAGGCCTCCATTCTGTGTTATAAACTCTATTAATGGATTAAAGAAATGAAAAAGGCATCAATCACTGGTGCAAAGCAATCAAAAAGCCACGTTTTCAATATCCAGCCCATCAATCAGAATATTTGCGTGTAATATTTGGCTTTCGCAATACAGACAGTGCTCTCTTTGTAAATGGCCTCCTCATATCTGCTCAGATGATTGTGGCCAGGAAAAACACTGAGTCAACAGAGTCTCTCATCTTGAGAAGAAATCCAGGAACCGATGGTTTTCAAGGAGCCAAACATAGCCAATCCCTAAACATACTGCTGTGCTGTACATCTCTGGTAAAACACTGAGTGTAATCTTATAATCCAGATTCTAGCATACAAACTGGTGATGAGGACAAGTTTAAATTGAGCATCCTGCATAAAAACTGTGCTCTGTGAAATTAAACTGAAGATTTACATTGCATGGGAGTATAGACACATGGAATCCTTTCAACACATGTTGAAGTGTAGTCACCTTGAGAAGTTGTTTCATAACAATAACCCAAATTTATGTTTCACTTTTAATGAAATAAAGCAACCCAAGCCACTTACAGGAGCATTATAAAACAAGGTATGACACCAAGCCACATAAGGAGTTAACAGTTTGACGTAAGGTTTTAAGTGTCTTAACAAAAATGAGAGTTTACTTACAAATTAGGGGCAGGGCTAGACTATTCAGCCCCTCCAGCCTGCTCCAACATTCAATAAAATCCTGATGTCTGATGTGAATATGGACTTAAGTTTACATTCCCGTCTATTCCGATAACCTTTAGTTCCCTTCTTAATCCAGAATTTATTTATCTCTACCTTAATAATATTCAATGAATTGGTCTCCACCAATTTTGAAGACAGCTCCCTAGATAATTGACCTTTAAAGAAAAATTTCCAATGTTTATCTTAGAAGGGAGATCTTTAAACTGGATCCTCCAGACTCTCCCATAAGGAGAAATACCCTTTCAACATCCACCCTGAAAAGTCCTCTCAGGATCTTATATGATTC